CTACTACTGTCCAGTTTTGGTGAGCCTCTGAGAACTGTAGCCTCAGTTTCCTGTTCTTAGCTGAAAGGAGTGGCACCCGGTGTTGTCTTCTGCTGCTGTAGCCCATCTGCCTCGAGGTTCTACGTGTTATTTGTTCAGAGATGCTCTTCTACAGACCTTGGTTGTAACAAGTGGTTATTTGAGTTACTGTTGGCATTCTATCAGCTCGAACCTTTCTGGCCATTCTCCTCTGACCTCTGGCATCAACAAGGCATTTGTGCCCACGTTACTGCCGCTCACTGGATATTTTCTCTTTTTGAGACCATTCTCTGTAAACACTAGAGATGTTTGTGGGTGAAAATCCCAATAGATCAGCAGTTTCTGAATCACTCAGACCAGCTCGTCAGGCACCAACAGCCATGCCATGTTCAAAGTAACTTAAATCACCTTTCTTCCCCATTTGGTTTGAACTGCAGGAGATTGTCTTGGCCATGTCTACATGCCTAAATGCATTGAGTTGCTGCCATGTGATTGGCTGATTCCACATTTGTTGGACAGGTTGGACAGGTGTACCTAATAAAGTRGCCGGTGARTGTTTAGCACATTGCAWTTTTGCAGGAATTGAAATTACTCTGGGATAGTCCTTAACTTTTCCGGGTGTTTTAGCTCTCTTTTCGTTTATATTTTACTTTATGTGTTATAATACTGTAAAACTGATTGTTTTGCGTTTTGAAACATTTATGCACTGTTGCTAATCTTGGTCAAGTTTCTTTTAAAAAAGGAAATTTTTATTCCTAACAAGATCTACGTTAGCCTGGCCCTTGCCTACCTACGCAGTTTTGCTCAATTCTAGTTTCCCTTCACTGCTCCGTCTGGGATTTCTCCCAATGACAAGGATTTCATTGGCAGATTTTTAGCCGAACCAATCAGAGAACAGAATGTCGATTTTCTGTGCAGTGTCTGCTTGTAGTTTATTTTACCTGGGCCAATCAGCAAACAGAAGGAGGAGTTTTGATAAGGCTTCCAAATTAAATTAAATTTGTAGTGCTGTAGTGGGAATGTCACAAACAGTATGAGACTCTTAAAAAGGCAGAGGCCATCTCCAAAGTGCTTAGATAGASTWTGATGCAAAGTCATTTATTTTTGATATACTGTATATGCAACATTTTCAGAACAACTGAAGGTAACAAAGTTATTTGTGKTTTAAAACTGAACTATGTGCCTGGAGAAKACATARTACTCCCTGCTTTAATAAAATCTATTCTGACTGTAAAAGGTAATGGACTCTGACTATAATCTAGATATTTTCATCACTGAGTGCTTGGAGTATGTGATGGAGATCTGTCTTCWGCCAGTTTAAATTCTAGTGCAGTATCTGTACAACTGGCTGAGGTAACCAATGAGGGAACACATAATACCTTCTTCGAAAGATCTTCTTGTTAACAGTCACTAACTTAGCAGAGATTTCCATGTAATACTTCATTCTAAATATGGTGGTGTTTTTCATTCATTAAAACAGTTTTTAGACTTGTATTTCAGCAGTGGAAAAGAACATTACATCCCTTAACACCATAATGTTGTCAGTCAAATATCTTGTAAATTTTAAAGAGTCATTTMTTTGTGATTGAATGTGCAAATGTCTGAATTGTTGTTCAAACTGCAACATTTTCTCCTGAACGAAGTGAAGCATACCAGAAGCCAAGGATTTACTAAGAAAAATTTCTTTATGAGGCATACTTTTTATTAATCCTTTTCAATAAACAAATCAATGTCAAATTTCAGCCCCCTCAGCAGTTCTTCAGGTCCACTGGYCAAGGGTTTACTGAGCTTTGCTAAAGCAACAGTAGCTTAGCAAGTAAGCTAGAGTTACCATGAGCTTGTGTTTGTTTTAGGATCAGCTTGGGCAATCCTCACAAGTCCAAGCAAACCTTATCTGCACCAGGTACAAGAACATATTTCAGAAGAAAAATATATGCACAGTCTCAGCTAAGTGTTTTTTAAACTTACAGTTCCAGTGTACTAACCATGTTTTTCCATCTCCTTCCCCTACCAGTGGTTCTCAATTTTTTGGCACACCTGATTTAAATGTAAGRGTGATTGGCAAGCTTCTGCAGAACCTAACAGCCTGCTGAAGAGCAGGGAAAAAAAACTAAAACATGCAGGTATAGTGGACCATAAGGACCAGAATTGAGAACCACTGCCCCAAACTCATCCTCTTTGTGTTTGGTAACAGATCTCTTCTCACTTGGGGAAACAGCATCAACGTTTGGGTCAAATAATTTTCCCTGTTATGTTGTTGGCACAATCTCATGTCTTTTACAATTCTTCAGAATCTTGAGTTGACTTACGATGTAGACATTGTCTGTGATCTTTATTTATAAAAGTTACAATGTTTTGAAGTAACTTAATTTGCGGGTTAAAAAAGCTAAATGAAAAACAAGCATATTAAGTCCCACTGTGCTTTTTGTGTGTTCTAAGCTTCTCTTCATATCAACTATCAAGGTCTAAACTTTTATGATTGTTTCTAAGCAGTTATCATTGAACTAACACTGTTCTCTTGATCTCTTAAAAATATATTTTTCTGTTTAACTCTGTAGAGACCTGCGCAGTAAATAACGGGGGCTGTGACAGGACATGTAAAGACACAGCCACAGGGGTGCGCTGCAGCTGCCCAGTGGGATTCACCCTTCAGCCTGACGGCAAAACCTGTAAAGGTCAGTAAAGGCATGAAAKTGTTTGTAAATATATCTGGTCCTGAAGCCATCGCTAAGGGTCAGTGGGACCTGAATGCTATGACTGGTATCTGATTGTTGTGGTATCTGATAGGCCTGAGCCAATCATCCACTGAAGCTTTGACTGTAATGGATTTCTGATGCGGTCATTGGAACACTTACTTCCTGATGTTGTTGTCTTTGCTGTGGAGCAATTCTCTTTTTCCAGTGGCTCAGCTRTAGAGCCAGTAACGTTGGTCCATGGAAAAGATGTCACAGATTGTGAGCCAACATTTCAAACAGARCATTTTGGCTTTACTCTAAATAAATACCGGAAGGGTTTGTATGGTTTTAAACAAAACTGCACACAAGACTTTCGTGAAAGAAACCAAACAAAATAGCAATGCAAGGGCTATGGGAAGGTTCTGGTCCTTCAGGCTTGGTTAGGTACCTGTAGTCACGAAGTTTGAGAGAATGTTGCCCYGAAGTGCAGATGATTGACTAACATTCAGTAAATGGTAAATGGACTGTACTTATATACCGCTTTTCTATCCATCTAGGACACTCAAAGCGCTTCACACTACAATCTGTGYCCTCATTTACCCATCCACACAGCACTCTATTAGGTCTCCACAAAGCTAACATGTACAATCACCTATGGAGACCAATCAGTGCCAATCACATTCATACACTGATGGGACACACATCAGAGACATTAGGGTATCTTGCCCAAGGACAAAACAACTGAGACAGCTGGACGGGGGATCGAACCGGCGACCTCCTGGTCCCAGGACGACTCCCAGGGGCATGGCCACAGGGATGGCAGTGGGTGGTTACTGGCTTCCTTGATTGCTCACCCTGCCTGGTAACTCCATCAGAGCTGTCGATTACTTTGTATATACTGCCAGTTGTGGCATCATGTCAAGTTGTTCGAATTGTCTGTAAATTATAGTGGTTTTCCCCTGTTTTGCATGATGTATAGGGAAATCTTATAGATTTTTTTCAAAAACTTTGCTTCAAATATGTGAAGATTCAGAACTGGTAGTCTGTCCTCATCCTGCTCTCCCTGCTCTTTCTGCCACTGTGGACTCTGCTGTCACCCCATGTCCGCGGCCGGAAGGCCCACTCACTCCCCACTCCTCCTCCATTGAAGGCTAAAATGCAGGGCCTACCGCTGCTATAATGTTATATTAAAATGTTAATGTTGAAAACSTTGGGAAGCACTAGGCTTCCTGTTTCAACTGCATATATCTTTGCCATGGTCATCTTCATACTAGATTACGTACAGTATGTCTGATAAGTTCTGCTGAAGTGTGGTGTGATTTGTGTCATACAGGTGTGATGGATGGCTAACAACCACTAGGTTGTTAAAATGGTATATTTTTTACTTTTCTTTCAATCACAATTAAATTCACTCTATCCGGGAGGTGCCATATATCCGCATAGGTTTTTACATTTTTTAACAATGGTACAGGACAACTACCCTAAACACGCTGTCACAGCAGCCTGAATCAAAACAAGCAAACGAATTAGAAGTAATGACTTTCTACTTAGGACAACACTGTGACTCAGTTGKTAGAGCTGTTACCTCTCAGCAAAAAGGTTGCTAGATTGAATCCTGGCCTGGGAGCTTTCTGGGTAGAGTTTGTGTGTTCTGTCCGTGCATGCCTGGGTTTTCTCTGGATACTCAGGTTTCCTCTCACAGAAAGTACAGAATATTGTGTGAAAATGTTCAAAGTACAGATAACCATAATTTCTGTTGAAGTACAGTAATGAAGTATTTTTACTTTGTTACTTTTACTTCATCAGCAGCACGGCAGCTTAGTGGTGAGCACTGATACCTCACAGCAAGAAGGTCCTTGGTTTGATCCCCAGTTTGGACTTGGAGTCTTTCTGTGCTGAATTTGTCTCTGGGTAGTCTGGGTTTCCCCCACAGACCAATAACATGCACAATAGATTGCCTCCTCCCTTGAAAAAGAGATCTACTTCATGTTTAAAGAGTAACTTACCCCAAAATGAACTTTTTTTAGCTGATAAACTGTCTAGAATGTGTCTAAAATGTTATATAGTACTGTTTCTG